TATAAAATATGAGATTTAGTGGGCAAAACCCACTGATTTAGATGAATTTAAGAAAGCACTCTTGATGGCTTTAGGATAGTCAAAGTATGTAGTTTGTTCACAAAAAGGACACACAGGACAATTTTACCACAAGGGATGTAAGCGTTTAACCGATTAACCAGTAAGCTGAGGCTTATTGCTTACTATTAACAATTAAACTTCGCATGGGCTGTCAGCCCCATTGGGCCAGAAGCCCTAGCAATGTTGGCAGCCCCACTGTTAACTGTATAATTGATAAAATCCTTATCAGTTACGCAGTAAATATTTGTATTTATTTTTACACCCCTATTTACTACACAGAACTCCCAAGGCTCAGGACAATAAGAACTTATTGTCTCAGAAGTATATGCATGATTTACAACACCACCCCCATATATGATTACAATGGATATTTTTATCAGCAAACTCTCAAAAAAATGCATTGTTTCTCAACTGGTAGGGATAGAGAGGTGCTATGAAAGAATGGGGGAGGGTGAGGAGGTACTGAAAATTGTATTGCAACTTCTAGCAAAGAATCTCATCCCCTCACTCCTTACACACTCCTGCCCCCTCTGTCAGTGACTTGAAACACACAAGTAAATACATTATATACAGTTGCTGTCACTAATATATTTGCTATAAAAAGAAGAAGGTCGCAAAGTATTTTTGCCTTTGAATAGAAGAACACCAATCAGGAAAAGTTGATGTAGATGAATGCACAGCCACCTGAAATCACTGATAGCAACTTCCTAAGAATCCCAAAGTAAATGAACTCACACAGAGTGACAAATGAAACAGCATTCTTTGCCACTGATCAGCATTTTCAAAGCTTTTACTCCGCTCAGAGTTTGGAGAGAACTTTCTGTATCACATTAAAGAGCTTTAGAATGAGAACTCTTGCCTTGTTCTCGGTTTCTAATGGGTCATTTATGACAAGCAAGATGAACTCAAGCTACAAATCTACAATTGCCAGTTCACTGGTCATAAGACAGAGAAAACCCATGAACAAAGACACAAAAAAGAACTTGTGCTACAGCTTTTCATATATCTGAGACAAAAATCAAAACCCGTCTCCATACCCATGAATATGATTCGCTTTAAACGGTTGTCTCAAAAGAAGAACTTCCAGATGGAAAGTTTGGACACAGGTAAATGATCACTTAAAGGAGGGAAACCAGACAAATCAAATGAGTGACAGTTCAATTTTTTCTGAATTCAGTTTGAGTAAACTGCAGACCATTAAATCCTAGTTGTTGCAGACAATTCTGTCACAGACAGGCACAAATTCTCAGTGGCAATCTCTACTCATGAAAAACTGACTGGCAAAGGAACAATGAGGAGTTGATTGATTCTCTGGTATGACTGTGAGTTCAGTTTTAATTGCCTGTCTGGGGCGTGAGGGAAGGAGAGATTACATATGAATTAGGAAAAAATCAAATTCCTCCTACAGTTAACCCCATTTCCACCTTGCCTTTACTCCTGCTCCCAGGTCACACGACTTCCTCAGTTTTACACTTGGAATTTTTGACACATCTCCCTCACCTTCTTAGCTGAGCTACTCACTCACTCCCCCCTTTTTTCCCCATCCATCTTCTCCTCCGATTCTTTGACCGAATCATCCATTTACTTCCTGTCAGAGACCCTGCACCACCTCAGCTGAGAAGGCACCACGTGCAGCTTCCTCAAGAATCGGCCAAGGATTCAGGCAGCCGTAGCACAAGAGGACAGGTCCAGAGAGAGCACAAGGAGATACTGCCAGCTTCTGCTGGCCTGAAGGGCAAAGCGGCAAAATCAGCCCCATTTTACCATGCACTGCAGCCAAGCCACTATGGCAGCTTTCCACCCCAGCACTTGTACTGCTTTCTCCCCACCCACAACCCCACACGGCGCATACCCCAGCAGGCCATGCAGAGGTAAACCAATGCACATTTGGCCAGTTGAACACAGTTTCAAATGAAGCGCTGCACCAATATTTCCTCTGGCTGCTGCTAGTTAGAGGGCTTATGCAGGAGCAGTGGGATATCCTAATTCTCTCCACCCACCTCAGCCCTGTCAAATTCAGAAAATCTGTGTCCATTTCTTTCTACGGCTGCTCCCCTCCCAGCACTAACCCAGAAAAGCATCACCCAGACCCACCCAAAAGGGAGATTCAACAATGTGCAGAAAGCACAAGGAACTATAAAACAGTAGTGACCCCACCCATTAACTGCCTGGTTTTGTACAGTGATGTAGAAAGTATATTAAGACATGTCCTTTTTTTTGCCCTCTTAGTTGGAACAGAGACAGAAGGAGCATCTGGAAAATAAGATGGGAACAAGGCCAAAGAAAGTCATTTCTTGGTGGTTAGCAGCCACGACAATGTCCTGTTAATAAACATGCTCTCTGGTTTTCATAAATTAGCAAAACCTGCACATGGTGATAATGGATATTATTCATGCAAATGAAGATCTAATTCCTCCTATAGTTGCACTGGGTATGAGCTACCATCTGTATTGATGAACTTTCTCGTGCAAACCCCTGACACAGAAACAGAGGATACAACTCAGAGGATTTTTTTCTCTCCTTCCTAGAGATGCTTTAGGGATTATGCAAGGAAATAAGGTGATTCATTTCCTGAAGATGCTGGCATAGAGGAAGGGATTCTGAAATCCTTTTTACCATGGAAGCTGAAATCCAGGATAGTGCACAAGATTGATTAGTCATTACTAATCCTATTTATCCACAAGAGGGGAACGACACTGGAAATGAAAGGGCAGGCTTCCACATGCTACCCTGCTAATGTGTTCCAGCCAAAACTGAGGAACCAATTGCAAGAATGGGAGGGGAATTCAGTCTCCAGGTCCATTAAGTCCTTAACCCTTCTCCATAAAGGCTTCCAATCCAGGTGCCACATGCCAAAGTATTTTACAATGCAGACCAGTCTAAAGGAGTTTGTCTCAATTCATTCGAAGACTAAAGTAATTTTTTTCTCACGGTACTGTGGGGGAGAGGAGAGAGAGATGGCTCAGGGCAGGGAACGTGATTCAACAGTACCTGTAAGAAATGCAAGTATGGGTTTGAGTGCTGGGGGCTCAGGAGAGAGGTAGGTAGGTGTGTGTGTGTGTGTGTGTGTGTGTGCGCGCGCGCATGCTCACGAATCAGGGTTGGGGTGTGTGAAGAGGGGCTCAGGGAAGGAGGGGCTGAAGCCTCCCTGAGATTTGAACCAGAACGCCTCTTGCTGTTCCTCTTCCTCACTCATGGAGTGAGGGGGAAGCATACAGCGTAAATCACTCATTCCTCTGCCTCGTCCCTTCCCCAGGCAGGAGGGAGAGGAATGCAGGCACATTATGTAAGCAGGATAAAAAGAAAGAATGAATTTCACATATACAAAATGGGAAATGACTGCCTAGGAAGGAGTACGCGGCAAAAAGGAATCTAGGGGTCACAGTGGAACACAAGTTAAATGAGTCACCATAGTGACACTGTTG